GTGGTGGACCTGGCATCAATTTAGAAGTGGACTTGGCCCACTTTGAAAAACAGCCCGTCACTTCTGGATTTCCTAGCAGGCCCATTCATTCCAATGGTTCTTCTAGTAGGCCCAATGTACCTGCATCAAATAATGGGTTGCTTCCTGGCCCTTTGTCCAACTTAAACCCGTTAATGAGCAGTAATTCTGCTCATACACAGTCAGCCCGAGACTCAATTTCAGCCTCCATCACAGATCACCAGCGTAACCTGAGGAAAAAAGGGAAGATGAAGTCACAGATGGAGGGGTTCACTAGCTTTGCTAGGATTCATGCGTACACAAATAATGCAGCCAAGAAGCACTATGCTAAATCTGTTGTTTACAGGCCTACTGCTACAGCTCTAGCCCAATCTAATTCCTTTGCAGGTGATTCTTCTCTGAGAAACCAGATTCTTTCTGAAGCTGTAGCTACAATTCAATTGGGGAAGTCTCTTGGAATAGACTACCATGGGAAGGAAGGCATTGTGCTCAACAAAATTGCTGAATTAGAATTTAAAGACAAGGAGAAAATTGCCAATGAGGGGAAGGCCCAGCAGTAAAGGGAAGAAGTAGGGCCTTTTGAGTGAATTAATGGGTCATCATGAAATTAATATCGTGGAATATCAGGGGTATGGGTAAGGTGGAAAAACAAGGCAGAATCAAGAGGCTCCTAAAAGACAGAAATGTTGATATTGTTTTTTTTCAAGAAACCAAAAGGGCAGTTATATCAGATGGTGATGCTAGAAGGCTATGGGGAAGTAAAAATATGGAGTTTATGTCTGTTGATCCTGAAGGAACATCCGGAGGCCTGCTATGTATCTGGGATCCTGCTGTCTTCACACTTTCTGGCTGCTGCTGTAATAGGAGGTACATCTTACTCTCAGGTTCCTTATACAACACCTTTGACTGTGTCCTGCTCAATATTTATGCACCCAATGATGTTGGTGCCAGATCTTCTTTTTGGGCTAATGTCTTAAAGCTTAAATCCTTCTTCCCTCTTCCTTGGTGCATGGGTGGTGATTTTAATGAAATTAGCCATATTAGTGAAAGAGTTGGTTGCTCTAGGAGATACAGGGGAATGAAACATCTTAATGACTTTATCGGCAATAGTGAGCTTCATGATTTACCACTTCATGGGAGGAAATACACATGGTGCAATGCCCAGGAATCAGAGAAATGGCGCAGAATTGATAGAATTTTACTAAGTCCTGAATGGATGATTAATTTCTCAATGAAATTGTGGGGTTTGCCCAGGCTAATCTCAGACCATTGCCCTTTATTAATGATGGAGGATACCAGAGATTGGGGGCTGAACCCTTTCAGGTTCCTAAATGCGTGGACTCTACATCCCAGCTTTGCTCAGTTATTTGTCTCATCATGGTCAGATACCTCTTTTGCTGGCTGGTCTGGGTATATACTCTCCTAAAAATTAAAGCATCTGAAGCTAGTCTTAAAATCTTGGAACATTCAGGTGTTTGGCAATATGGCTTCTAAAATAAAATCTTCAGAAGAAGAGATACATGCTCTAGATATCACTGTAGAGGAAAGAGCACTGATTGCTTCAGAAAAGGCCAGAAGAAGGGAGGTTAAAGGTGAGTTGTGGAAGCTATACAGAATGGTAGAATGGATTTGGCATCAAAAATCCAAATTGAATTGGGCTATCAATGGGGACAAAAACAGTAGGTTTTTTTCATGTGGTAGCAAGTTCTCGGCAGAATAGAAATCTCATCAACTCTATTTTAGTAAATGGAGTGTCCATTGAGGATCCTACTGGAGTTAGGCAACAAGTTCTCCTTCACTTTAAGGCCCAATTCTCTGAATCATGGGTTAAGAGGCCTTCCTTGTCAGGAGTATTTAACACCATTGACCCGGAATATGTCTCCCAACATCTGGTAGCTGAGTTCAGTGCAGCTGAGGTACTTGCAGCAATCAAAGACTGCAACAATAACAAAGCTCCAGGCCCTGATGGGTTCAACCTACTGTGTTATCAAAAATTCTAGAAGGTTATGAAGCTGGACATAATGCAATTTTTCAAAGAGTTTCATGCTAATAGCAGGCTTGCATATGGCATCAATAGCTCATTTATCACCCTTATTCCCAAGGTGGACAACCCTATTGGTCTATCTGATTACAGACCTATTAGTCTGGTGGGATCTATTTACAAAATCTTGGCCAAGGTCCTAGCATTCAGATTAAAGTCAGTGCTCCCCTCAATCATTGGTGAAACACAGACAGCATTCTTAGGAGGGAGAAATATTCTGGATGGGGTGTTTATAGCTAATGAAGTAGTGGATGGTTGGAAGAAGGAAAAAAAAAAAGGGTTGATTCTCAAATTGGATTTCGAGAAAGCTTTTGACTCTATCAACTGGGAATTCTTATTTTCTTTGATGGCCAGTTTTGGTTTAGGGGATAAATGGATCACTTGGATAAAGACATGTGTCTCTACAGCTAGAATCTCCATTCTAGTGAATGGCTCACCAACTGAGGAATTTTCACCCCATAGGGGCCTTAGACAGGGTGACCCGCTCTCTCCTTTTCTATTCAACATTGTGGCGGAAGGTCTTAACATTCTTCTAGTCAGAGCCCTCAATCTTGGTATTCTCAAAGGGGTAGTTGTTGGATCTAACCATGTTCTAATCTCACATTTGCAATTTGCCGATGATTCAATCCTTTTTTGTGAAGCCGATAGTGATCAATTGGTATCCATTAAAAGGGTTCTCAGATGCTTTGAAGTACTATCCGGTCTCAAAATTAACTACCATAAGAGTGTTGTGTGTGGTGTTGGCATAGATGAAGGCTGTTTAAACACTTTTGCTTCCCGTCTCAATTGCAAAGTGCAGAGTCTTCCATTAAAATTTCTGGGGCTGCCTCTAGGAGCAAATCCGAGAAGGAAATCTACTTGGAAGCCTGTAATTGAAAAAATCAAGGCTAGACTGTCAGTTTGGAAAAGAAAACTGTTGTCCTTTGCTGGTAGATTAACTTTAATCAAGTCTACTCTATCTAGTTTACCTATTTACTTTCTTTCCATGTTTAAAATGCCTGAAGGAGTGGCTAAGGAAATAGAAAGGATAGAGGCTGCTTTCTTATGGGGTAGTAGTGATCTTAAAAGGAAAGTTCATTTAGTGAAATGGGAGGAGGTTACAAAGAGAATTGATCAAGGGGGACTAGGCATTAGAAGGGTCAGAGATGTTAATGTTTGTCTCCTTCTCAAATGGTGGTGGAAATTTGGAAACCAAACTAATGCTCTCTGGAGGTCAATTGTGTGCAGCAAATATAAAATTAACAACTCTTGTTGGCTTCCTCCTTTGAGTCCCTCATACAAGCATTCTAGAGTCTGGAGGGACATTCTCTCTCTTGGGGCTCTCAATAGGCCTATCTTCAATTTCTTTGTGGGCAAATGTGGCTTCAAGGTTGGGAATGGTATTAGAATCAGATTTTGATTTGATAGATGTTGTGGTGGCCTTTGTTTGAAATCTTCTTTTCCTCTCCTTTTTAATTTGTCAACTGATAAGGAAGGTTCCCTTAATCATTATTTCACAAAGAGGTCAGGTCCATTTGTTTGGAATCTCCCCCATAGAAGAGAGCTTTATTCATGGGAATTGGCTGAAGAGTTGAGATTGAATGCTCTCTTATCCTCTGCTCCATCTCTGTGTTTGGATTGTGAAGACTGCTTACTCTGGTGCACTGATTCTGGTCATAACTTCTCTGTTTCTGCTCTTTATTCTCACCACTCATCCCTCTTTGGCCCTTACCTCAAGGTTACCAAATTTGTTTAGAACTCATCATTGCCCCCCAGAGTATCTTTTTTTACCTGGCTAGCCTGGAAATCTAGAATCAAATGTTTTGACTTTTTGCTCAAGATTGGTTCTCTTGACAGTAATGCTCCACCCCTCTGCCACTTTTGCAACTCTGAGGTAGAAACTGCTCCCCATGTACTGCTGCATTGCTCTTTCTCTTGGTCAATCTGGTTAGTAGTTATTGAGGAATGGGGCCTACATTGGTGTATTCCTAAGTCTGTAGATGGTCTGCTTCATTGGTGGATGAGTTGGAAATTCTATAAGTTTGACAGACTAATCTGGAGAGCAACCCCCTTAATTGTACTATGGTCTATTTGGAAACTCATAAATGATTGTGTATTTTCTAATGCACAACCCTCCTCTTCAGGACTGCTAGACCTTATAAAATTCAGATCTGTCATTTGGCTCAAAGCTTCCATTAAGGAATTCCCATACTCAGTTGATGATCTTATCTACAATTGGAGACAGATCAGGGGTGGAGTTTAGTGCTCCGGATTCTGTTTAGAGCTATCTGGGTTGATGTTGTCTGTTGCAATGGTGTTCTGTTAATGTCTGCTGGATTCTGTTGTGTTCCATCTGCCTTTGCCTGATGTTGGTGTGTGTTGTTCAACCGGGTATAGTGTACCACAAGTCTACTATTTCTGCAGTGTCTGCTGGTTTGTTCTATCCGTGTACTGGCAGTTCTGTGTTGGGAGTTGGTTTGATCTATCTATGTACTGGCAGCTTTATTTTGGTCAAAACACATGCCCTGCCTGCTGCTATGTTTTGGTCTGTGGGTGCCTCCGAACAGTTCTGTTTTGTGATGTTGGGTGCTGGTTCTACTGGCAGTTCTGTTGGGCCAAAGAACAAGCCCTGTCTGCTGTTTTGTTTTAGTCTGTGGGTGCCTCTACAGTATTGTTGTTCTGTTTTTGGAGGTTTGGGAAGGCTACTGATCTGTTGCAATGGTGGAGGTTTACTATTTCTGCAGTGTTGTTGTTCTATTAGTCTATCTACTTCCAGTTACTTTGTTTGATGCTTTCATTTATTCTTCTGCTTTCTTTTGTTGGTGCCTCACCAACTGGGCGCTTGGAGCTTCTTCTTAGCTCTAAGCTCCTCTCTATTGATGTAATATTTCATACTTTGTTTGTTTCATCAATATAGATTTTGTTTAGCCGATCAAAAAAAAAAAAAGTGTGTGGTCTGGTCTCATGTTTAGAACAAATCATTCTTAATGATTGATCATAGAAATGATATTGCTACTATTTTTGCTTTAATTGTTGGTAGGCAGCTGGATCCTTTAACCACCATTGGATGCAATACTCAACTACAGTGCCAAATGATCCTGACACACATGAGGACTTCATGCCCGCTAATAAGCTTCAGAATTCTGACCTTTCTTTGAAGGACATTGTTGAGCAGGTTGACAGTAGTCGTCTGTACCTTTCACATTAGATATTGAGTCCTTTTTTTTCTCTCTCTAATTATCCAGATTAAAGTTTGAGTCTTTTTTTTAGTCTTTATTATTGATAGCTTTTGGCTTCTATGGCAGGATGTCAATGACAACCCTGTGATGATTTACATGAAAGGAGTGCCTGATCTTCCGCGGTGTGGATTCAGCTCATTAGCAATGAGAGTGTTGAAAGAATATAGTACGTGTTCTGTTGCTTCGTTTTACAACAATATGCATACATTCCCTGGTTTAGTTGAGGCTTGAGCAACCATATATTTATGTGAGCTTGAATAATTTATGCTTTTTTATGTGGTCTATATGTGACTATTTGGTATGGTAGGTGGCCTCTTCTAAATTTTTGAAGTATCTATGTTAGACACTGAACACTAGTAAGGGTATACCATATATGATATGTGACCAACATGCTTCTTTAGAGATGCATCCATCAAGTATGGATACATAGTCAGGTTTACTATGCACAATACTCCCGTTATATGCATAAAATGTTGTATGTTAGTTTGTAAACTTCATTTTATCATAACAAATAAAAGAAATATTTTATAAATATGATCTCTAGCCTTGTCCTGGTATCCTTGGATATGAATATTAGATAAAGTTGAAACTTGAACACATGCCTTCGAAGAAGTACAGAAACTGGCATGTGGCACGAGACGGACACGACATCGACACACTAACATAGAGTTTTTCAAAAAAATAAAGGACACATCACGTGGGGGACACATGCAAAATATATAGTTTTATATATTTATTGTATGACATATATAAGCATAAACCATTAGTATATGTCATATATGTGAATAATCAATCCAGAGATAATCACTGTGTTTGGTTGTGGTTTTTTGAATATGGTTTTTTGAAAATTTTATACAACTTGTTTGGTTATTCTGAAAAATGAGTTCTGTTTTCAAAAAAAATAATCATCTGATTCTTCACGTGATGGGAATAGGTAGGCTTTAGTAGAATCTACTTCTACTCCTCTTCATAGCCTCTGCCTTGCTCTTTATTACCTTTACCAAACATTTTACCACATCTTCACTTTCGTTGATATGCGAAGGTCGGCAACACCAAAGCAACAACGACGGCCAACGACAAAGACACTGTTCAGGTGTGGTCGCTTTGAGCTCAGGGTGACGAAGAACCGACGACAAAGAGGTTAGTCGCACTATTTTTGGTTCATCATGTTTTCATTTTGATCTCTATTTCCCCCTTCCATTTTGCAAGTGTTCTTCTTCATAAATTTGTAGGAAATGAAATTTTGTTCAACAAATCTATTCTTTACGGTAGCAATTAGACAAAAATGGTACTTCAATCTCGAGACTGAAGTTTTATATGTAAACCTAAAACTGGTGTGGTTTGTTTTATACACCAAATCCCTAGTTGAATCTGAAAACCCCTTTCAGATTATGAATGTTTAGTTCGCTGCTTTGCTTTTGGAAAATAATTTAATCATTTGAAACCGAAAGAAATTTCTCTACCTTCGGGTAACTGGTTTTGATTTCAGACTATATTTTCCACATTTCGGACATACTAAGCACAGATTTTATGCTTTTCGTTTGGGAAATTAGCTTTATCATATTTTGTTAAGTTCGTCATAGTTTCCCCTCTCCCAACTGTGGTTCCAAAATCGGTATTGAAGTCCTTCTCTTATATGAAAATGAAGCAAATTTTTTGTTGGGTTCACTCTTCTGGTTTGGTGTACAAAATGGGGGCTTCAGCAAGGTTAAACAATTCCCATTTTACTTAGCAAAAATCAAATTAGCAATGGTTAGCTAAACCATAATTTTGACACCATGATTTATTATTATGAAAGGGTCCAAATGGTCCAAAACATATTATTTACCAGTGCTTAAATAATTTTAACTCCATGATTTATTATTATAAACTGGTCCAAATGGTGCTTCCAATATGCATATATGCATATTATTTTGGATTTTTTGGGTCAAAATAAACAAAGTGAAGAAGCAAAACTCATCACCTACCTATATGCCTGATCAATTGAATAGCTTGCATAAATCTTATCAATGAAATGTAAGCACTTCAAAGAACTTCAAAGAATTGTATAGAATGATTCCTAAGTTATAAGGCGTTAAATTATAGTGTACTACACTAGCATCAAAACCGGTATTATGCACAAAAGATTTGAAATTTAATTAGAAAGTGTTTTTAAAGATTTATTAACAAGTATGGTGGGTTTGTTCATTTTTTTCTAACCATAATCTGTATTAGATTTTAATTAAAAATAAAATGTGAATTGAGAAGGAGAAAAGGATATGTAATTTGACTAACTCATTATTTTTATGTTTTTAAAATGTAAAATCTTATCGATAGTTTGCCTTAGTATAAACAAAATGAAATGTGAAAAGCTAGAGAAGAAGGATATGTGCAGTTGATGTAGTCATGTCATCTTTGTCTCCTCCAACAGGAAGTTTTACTTATTTATGTACTTTTATTGTTGTCATCGTTGTTGATGTAGTGACACCATCAGTTTCTTGTGGTCGATTCGATCTCCGCTGTACCAAGATTCGTGAGGAAAGGAGCTTAGTATAAACAAAATGAAATGTGAAAAACTAGAGAAGAAGGATATGTGCAGTTGATGTCATTGTTGTTGATGTAGTCATGTCATCTTTGTCTCCTCCAACAGGAAGTTTTACTTATTTATGTACTTTTATTGTTGTCATCGTTGTTGATGTAGTGACACCATCAGTTTCTTGTGATCGATTCGATCTCCGCTGTACCAAGATTCGTGAGGAAAGGAGTAAGGTCTTTCAACCCTTGTAATTGTATTAAATGTATTTTTCTTGAACAAGGCACGTTGAATATTGTTAAAGTGCACGGTGCAGTTCATTTAGGTACACCCCCATTTACTGAACACGCTTTGAAGACGAAGCAAAAGGCAGCACACACACCAGACTCTATTGCATCTTCTTTTGCTGAAAACGACATGGAGGTAAATGTTACTTTGCTACATTTCGTAAATGTGTTACATGCAATGTTTACCGAAACAAGAATGCATTAAAACACCGTAAATCTATTCCTTGCGAATTTTTTTTTTTTTTTTGTACACAGCATATTACATTATACCAAACGTGCTTGTTTACACATACGAAACACCTGTATACATGTAACACATTTCTAGTCAATTTGTTTGACTTGTTGCAACTTATGCTATGAAATTCGTTGCCATGTGCAACATGCCAGTACTGTAGTACAAAAGAAACCAACTGTCATCCGTGCAGTACTATACACTCGTAACTGTACACAAATGTTCATTTTTCTTCCTTGCGTTAACCACTCGCTTGCCATTTCTATTCGAACTTGTAAGTTGCTATTTTCAAGAATTATGTAAGACCTCATCACTTAACATTTACCCATGACACATGACAAATTATCACATGTGTAATACGTGTATTTCATAGATGGACAGTGAGGGGTTCGTGGAGGATGTGCAAGAACTGAGGTTGTGGCCAAGTAGGATTGAGTTGGCCTTCATCCAATTGATGGTCGAGGAGGTGAAGCAAGACCTTTCGGTAACCAAAAAAAACACTTTCACCACAAGGCATTGGACTCGAATTGACGACGAGCAGTACAGTCAGTTCAAAGTTAGGTACACAGTTAACCGTTTGAAACAAAAGTACCACCGCATCAGGCAAGCTTACAATACATTCGTGAAATTGAAAAACCATACGGGGTTCGGTTGGGATGAGCAGAGAAAAACGGTCATGGCCCCGAATGATGGCTGGGATCACTATGTTAAGGTAACAACCAGCACCGTAGGATTGAGTACAACCTTCATACTGCAGTACATTAACTGAAAAAATTCTTATTTACCATATCTTTGGTTTATTATTTTTGTAGGCACATCCCAGAGCAAAAGTGTTCAAGAAAAAGGGTCTAGACCACATTGACTTGTTAGACGTCCTCTTTGCTAACTCCCAAGCCACTGGCACACTTGCCCGTGCTTCAACCCAAGGACCCCCAACCTCTGATGAAGAAAGGGATATCCAAAGTGCATCCTTTGGTGTTGGAATCAACTCAAATACCGATTATATCCCTATTGATGACGACATTGACCGAGATGATGACCCGAAGGTAGGTGGGAGTAGCGGCAACGATGGTGGGCGAAAGGGTGCACACTTTGATTTGGCACTTGATACATGGACTGCCACAAACCTTGCAAAAAAAGAATTTTTTGCTCGCCAGAACAAAATGGCTGAAGCGAGCCAGGCCGAGAAAAAACAAAACTCCATTGCAGCATGTATCCAGTGTTTGGCAACAATGGACGAAATCACTCCCGACCAATACGTTAAGGCGTGTGAGAGTTTCCGAGATAAAGCAACGAGGAAAATGTTCATGTAGATGCTACCCAACATGCAGATGCATTGGGTTCATAAGCTTGCTTAGGAATTATGGACTTTGTACAGATGCAATTTTGTTTTGTTCAGCATCCAAGTTGTTGTATGTCAACGTATGTAGCTAAAACACTAAAAATCGGCGCCTACTTTTTTTTTTTTAATCCATGTATTTCATCTGTCAACTATGGTTATGTAAGGAAGTTATGGACTTTGATACCTGTCATGCATAATGAGGTGGGATTCTATGGATACAGGGTGTTGTCTATTTATTCTGATGTTCAAGTGGGAAAATCCAAGTTCATTGACAATTATGATGTTCGCATTTTAAATTTTTGTTAAAGTGATTTGTAATGCTTGCGTGTCCTTTTAAGTAAAGTGTTTGTGATTATTACTTTCAAAGGAGAGCTGATTACTTTCACAAGTGTTTGTGATTTTCTGCTTCTGTCTCTTTTTATTTTACGGAGATTCCTTTTGATTAGTACGGATTGAAGGGTTTAGGAAAATGTTTGCAATCTTTTGCTTCACTTTAGTGGTTTTGGTGGACTTCTTATCATACACCAACTATTGTAATGTTTATTTTCTTTTACTACTCAAATTTCTTTTCTTGCACTTAAAAATCCTAGTGAAACAATGTGGAAAATTAGAAAGAATTTGAATAAAGATGTTTGAATTACGAAACTGCCTCTTACCTCTCCACTTTTGTGTTGAATTGGCTCATAGTTTCCAACAATTCCATTTGGGCCATTATTATTTAGCATGTAAAAGTTTGTTAGTTGTTGTTTCTGGTTTTTTGGTAACACATGTCTAGGGGATGAGGGCTATGAAAATGTTATGGACTTGTATCACTACAAAAGAAATTTAGTACTATAATGTTATGGATGGATAATATTATGGATTTATGTATCGATTGAATTACATTTTCATGTTCATCTTACTTTCTTCGTGTTTACAAAAATGGACCCCAGTAACTCAACAAATCTGTTTGATATGGACGCCGCAATAAACATTCAGTCAAATGAATTTCCCAACTACGACCACATCATGGCGGAGATGGATTCAAGTGGGAAAAGCTTGGAGACCGAGGACAACACAGACAGCGAGGACAGTCCGGATAGCGCTGATATTGAGGACAGTGAAGACAGTATTGCAGCGCAGTTGAGGTCGTCATTTATTGCATCAGACGATGATGACATGGACTTTGCCATGGTATGCCAGATGTGGGAATCAACCAATGGAATTCCGGGGAAGCAGCCCCAACGGACATGTCCGTACACTGGAGAAATGTACACTCAACATTTATTGAATGGTCATCCACGCACAATTCAGGAGGTCTTGCGGATGGATGCACCAACGTTCAGGTCCCCTAGTGATGAATTGAAACGTAGAGAGTTCATAAAGGTGGACAAGAACAGGTTATCTATAGAGCAATCACTTGCTATATTTTTATATGTATGTGGACATAGTGAAAGACATAGACTTGCGGCTGATCGTTTTCAACACTCAACGGAAACCATTCACAGAAATTTCAAAATTATGATGAGAGCATTGTGTCGTCTTGCTGTCCTTATCATTCGACCTCCTGACCCAAATGTTATTCCTCCTGAAATTTGAAACAACCCGAAGCGTTACCCATGGTTTAAGGTTTGCTTGGGATCCCTTGTTTGTTTGCAATTTTCTGACGAGTATGCAATGAAATTTGGGTGCAGACAAATGTAATAATTATCATATTTGCGTAATGTATGACTGTATTAGGGCAATCGATGGTACGCACATTGCAGCGCATGCACCTGCTTCAAAGAGAACTGCATATCGTGGTAAGAAGGTTGCACTAACACAAAACGTTCTTGCAGCACGCTCATTTGACCTCAAATTTACTTTTGTTTATCCCGGTTGGGAAGGTAGTGCAACTGATTCATGAGTGTTATCCGATGCGCTTACACGCCCTGATGTATCCTTCCCGCTTCCTCCTACAGGTAAGGGTTTTGGTTTGTAATGACGACGCTTTTAAAAGTTTACTTGAAAATAGTTTCTAATAAACTTGTGTTAATGTAACATACTCATGTAGGTAAATATTACTTGGTCGATGCGGGTTTCACAAATATGACAGGATTCCTCGCGCCATATCGTTCAGAACGCTATCATTTGGACCAATTTCGTGGACGTCGACGTCGTCCAAATGGGTATAAGGAGTTGTTTAATTATCGGCATTCATCACTAAGAAATGTGATAGAACGAAGCTTTGGGGTGTTGAAGAATCGTTTTTCTATATTGAGATCTATGCCGAACTACATGCAAGTGCGACAAGGCACAATAGTTACAGCATGTTGTGCTTGTCACAACTAGATTCGCATGCACTCTGCAAATGATCCATGGTTTAACAGGCGCGGTAATGCACGTGCGGGGCAAGCAGCACCCGCAACTCCTGCAGTAGGAATTTCCAATGAAGCAGATGGGCAAAGCAGTCCATGTTTGGCACTTCTTTCAAAAATCTGTTTTCTTAAAACGATTTGCCAGATTTGGACTCTTTGGTTCAGACTTAGAATCGTGACTACAAAGTTGAGTCCGAGCTGTAGCGAGGTCCCCCGCGGGCTTGTTACATTAGTGCACCGAATATTGTATGGATGCTTGCATTGCCTTAGTAAGTTGTCAACTTCTCTTATATAAATTTCAGTTATGAATGTTTAGATTTAAAATTTGTTTGACATTTTCGTAATTTTAGCAGGAAAAAAATTCACACATATTCCTTTATGCATTTTCTGTTATGAATGTTTAGTATAAAATTGTATATGGATATTGGCTTTGGTAACAAAAGGTGTGTATTGTTCCACCCAAATGTCTTATATTTGCTTGTTTATTTTTTTCCCTAATCTGTTTGTCTCTCTGTCTATCATCCATGGAAAGACTATGGTACATATAGGTACATTTTTCTTTTTTTATTATTTACACAGACAGCCCAGAAATATTTTTCAGTTTGACTATTTATTTAAATTTCATGGAAATTCAACGATTTTGAATATAAATATAAACATAAATATATGATGTTTTAAATCGTAAAAATGTAAAAAAAATTTATGATTTCATAAATAAATTTACACATCGATTCACATTTTTTTTAATGCCAATTTGAAATAATTGGGCGTTTTTTTGAAATTGCAGTTTTCGGAAATTTGTACATAAATTCACTGTGTTTTTTGGAAATTTGTATAAATTTACGTTTTTTGAAAATTTGTATAAATTTACCATTTTTGCAAATTTGTAAATAAATTTTGATTATTTTGAAATTTTTTACATAAATTTGCCAAGCGTACGATTCTGTGAATACAAATTTATGATTTCATTTTGTGCATAACATTTATGAAAATTTGATTATACGAAATAAATTTTTTAATGCCAATTTAGAAAAAAAAAAAATACGTTTTCTATGGTTGTAATGAGTGGAAATTTTATAAAAAAGTGATACAGTTAATGGTAAGATATATACCCATAAATGGGTTCATGCCACATTATGTTTTCATAAAACCAAGCATGTATATATATATATATATATAATGTACTTGAGAGAATGTTTTGATGTAATTTTTTTTGTGTTTTTTTAATTGTTTCAATCATTAACTTGGAGGGAAATTTGAAATTGTAATGATGTATTTTTTGGAAAACCAAACAAGGATTTGTTTTTTAAAAAATAGTTTTCAAATCACTTTTTCAAAAAAAAATTTCAAAAAAACGCAACCAAGCATGGTGAATAGTTCTTAAAGTCTAAAAAAGATGAGAATAGGTATGAATTTACTTTCTTTGTTTGTTTTATTTATTTTTATTTTTTTATTTATTGTTGGATTCCAAGTTATTTTATTTAAACTTTTAATTTGTTTTATATATGTTTAAGCAATAGACATGTGTTTTACAAGTGTCTGAATTGTGTCCAAGTTTTGAAAAAAATTAAAAATAGTTGGACATGCTTGGATGTGTCTGACTAGTGTCATTGTCATGTCAGTGTACACCAAGTGTCCGTGCTTCTTGATATACCTCCACCCAAAACTTGCATTTGGGTGTTAGTCAGCTATGTCAAAATGACAAATTAAAGAGCATTTTTGTTTTTGTTTTTGTTTTTTTTTTAAAAAGAATAGTTGTGAGAGATGACCATGTAGTTGGGTTAAGTTGTCTTAGGAAAGTACAAGAAGACGAGACAATGGAAGCTCTAAAAGAGGAGCTGACTGGAGCTAATTTTGTAGCTGGAATTTTATTTAGTGTCGTACTTCTTGAACTTTGAGCTGGGCCTTGCACCTTGCCAACTTGACTACTTTAAGTTGTTTGTGGCATTCTTACTGTTGATGTGCTTTTTTTAGATGTTCCTTTGAGTGCCAGAAACATATTGGAAGATCCTGAACTTAAGAATGCTGTCAAATCATTCAGGTAACGTAGTACTTGATATCATTCTCTAGAACATCAATTTAGCATTGTTATACATCTAGAGAGCAGCAAGAGCCCGCTTCTCAGATATATAGCACCCTCCTATTGCCAATTCTTAATAATACAGGATGAACTCAAATTACTGTAATAATTGACATTATTGTTTGTTGGAGATATCAATTTGCATCAGGGGCAATGGTTGTAAAATTGTATAAGTTTTTCAAGGTGTATGACTGCGTGTTCTGTTTTTGCATTTTGTTTTCTTGATGTTTCAAGAACTGAGCTAGTGTATAGATTTTATCTTTTCAATTGCCCCCTTGCAATAAAAGTAGCTGATGTTAGTGAATAATTTTTTAATGTGAGACTTAATGTTTCTTGTTGTTTCCTTATCTTTGGGGAAAATTACATTGACCTCTCCTGAGGGATCTGACAATTATAAGGACCTCCCCTGTAGATACCTCAGGGGATCCATGTAAAAAAAAAAAAAAAAAAGTAGGCAGAGAACTTGTTTTAAGAACATGATATCATAAAAATAAAGTATATTTATTCTAAAATTAACATGGAGTGGAACTTAAAATGAATTTCCTAATGATGTATTTGAATAGCGGTTATTTTAAGTGAGGTTTCAATTTATCTAATTGAATGCTCCATCCAACAGTGGCTAAAGGATACATGGCCATGCCAGAATATTTTCAAAAGTTGGTGAACACTTGTTCAGGCAGCTTTTCATTTATCAAATTTATTTCCTTTTCAACAGTTTACTTTTATAGTAATTTTCCTTGTTGCCTTATTGATGAAGGTATATGTTTATCTCTTCGAAAAATTACACGAACCTTCCCTAATAATCGCCCAAATTACAACTGCCTTGGAAACGGGCACAGGCCATGGGACATGATAATTTCAAAAAATTCAGGACATGGATATAGTGGGGGTATATGTAAAAAAAAATATTTTATTTGCTATGTATGTAAATATTACATTCATAAATAACTAAAATTAATAAAAACCAACACTAATTTAACATTAAAAAAACTAAATTTTAATTAACCAGAGACTAAGGCTTTGTTTGGCATGTGCTAAGCAATTATCTTATTTGGATCACATTACCTCTTATTTGGGTCACATTACCTCTCTACCATATCACTTTAACCCCAACCCACATTTCACATTTTTTTGTTAAAAAGTCAAAAAGTATACTAATTTAACACTTCCCAAACAACCCCTAAATCTGTGTTGCATTAGGCTCCAAGGATTGTTAGAAGGTTGTTTCTCCACTTCACAAATGTGTTTCAGATGTGTGTTACATTGCCCATGATTTCACATGATTTTTATATTTTTTTAAAAACCAATCATTTTGTTTCCAAATATTCTAATATGACCCTAGAAATTACCTTTGAAAAATTAAAATAAGACTTGTCATGTCCCGAATCGTGTCCCACCATGTCTAATGTGTCTCTCGCCATGTTTACATGCACCCCTGTTGTGTATCCTTAAAAAAATGTACACGACTACAACACTTATTTTGAAGTGTCATTACTTAATAGATAGTTGATCCCATTAGCATAGGACAATGACATTGACTCCCCTAACATTTGAGTAGGCATATCATTGAGTGCCTCGCCGTTAGGTGCCAAGAAAGAGAGATGGATGGAATATTATGGTGTAGATAATTTTTGGATTAAATTTTCTATTTTTACCCTTCAAGAAATGGGTCAACTCTTTAACCTTTACCAGTTTACCTTTAGTCACTCTTACTCTTCTTCCCCATCCATTCCCCTTCTTTTTGTGTTCCCCCTTCCCCTCTCTTGGACTTCCCTGCCACTTACTATGCCACGGCCACCTCCCACCCCACCCCATTGCCCCCAACAATCCCTTCCCTCATGCCGCTGCCTCAGCTTCCCAAACACCACGCCTTTCCTTCCCTTAATTCCATCGTGTTACCACCAACCTCTCACCTCAATTTTCTTGCCACCAAACCTTCTCGCCCAAGAACAAATGAGAGATATATAGCTTGGCTCTAGGTTCATGCTGATGATGATCACCAGTGGCCTCCACGTCAAACCCCATTGCCTTCCATGGCCCTCTAACACCGCCTCCAACGCAATCCTAGTTGCAACCCCAACCCTAGTGCCATTATCCAACACCTTCCAACTTCAAAGCCCCCTTTTCCGTTATCAACTGAACACGTTTGATTTATGTTTTTTTTTTCCCTTGATTGCTTGACTTATGGATTTTATTTTTTTGGGAGGGGCTTAATTTAGGGCCAACGGAGAGGGTGTTTGATGAATTAAGGGTAGAGGTTTTTTTTTTTTTTTTGGCTTGATTATGTTGTGTATTGTATTATTTTTGGTTTTGTTGTTCTTTGTGTGTGGTGGCAGTGGTCGATGTTGGATTGTTATAGGAGGGAATTGGAGGATAAGGTAGGGTGGAGAGGAGGGCTATGCTTTAGCCTAGGGTAGAGGAGTGTGGTGGAGGAAGGTGAGAAAGATAGAGAGAGGTAGGGTGTAAAAAGGGCTGTCGGCCCGAGGCCTGACCAAGCCTGTCCATATCTCCTCGGGCTAGGACATGGGCTATGGGTTTTTTGGCCTAGCCTAGTCCTAGGCCCATTGGCCCAATCTGAGGCCCGGCCCGCCCGACGCCTAACTTAAATTTTAAGCTATTTTTATTAAAAAAAAACTAAAAAAAGCCAAGCCCGCCCCAAGCCCGATTATCCACTAGGCCAAGATTTTGCACAAGTGGCTTGGCCCAATTTTTGGTGGGAGCTTGACAGGCCTGACAGCGGGGCAACCTAGGCCGGGCCAAAATTACACACCTAGAGAGAGGGCATTTTTATCACTTCACATTTTCTATTAACGGAGTTAACTTTTGAGGCGCATTAGGGGATGCCGGTCTCATTGCTCCATACTATTGGGCCTATTGTTATTTGGGCAATAGTTAGGGGAGGTCCTTGTAATTTGCCCTTCTTTTTTTAATGGTACTTCATTTGTTGTTTTATATATATGGCCAAATCTTGATTGAATTTTTCGGGATGTGGTTGCATCATATATATATATATATATATATCCACAAGGTTGCCTGTGTGTCCGTTGCACATGTTGTTGGGATCATTTGTGAGAATAAGCTATTATGCTCAGTTGTCATGACTCTTGATTAATTGATGCAAATTACTGAGAAACAATATTTGCAAACGGAGTTGCTGTTGGTCTTTACTTAGCAACCATATTGGTCCAAAATGTTGATTAAAAAAATGTCTAGTTTCTAATTGTTTCAATTTGTCCCATGGTCTTTCGTTGCAGCAACTGGCCCACGTTTCCACAGATATTCATCAAGGGGGAGTTTGTTGGAGGATCAGACATCATTCTCAACATGCACCAGGTATTCTCATACCAAAATTGTTATTCTTTAGCCTGGTATACATTGCTTTAATGGTTTGGTCTGTCATGTAGACTGGCGAGTTGAAGGAAATGCTTAAAGATATTGCAGCCAACCAGGAGAATTAAGAGTAAGTTTATCATTACTAAACATGTAGAGTTACCAAGGAATATAGTTATCTTTGATGATGAAGAATTATAGGATACAAGCATGTTCAGCTTTGAATGTTTGTTGACTTGATCCAATAATGTTTAAGGCCAAAATCTGGGCAACTAGTTTTGGTTTCTAAACTCGACCAACCTGTAACAAACCCGCCCAACACATCCCATAACTCAAATACTAAGTAAAAAGGATGTAAACAAGATAATAAACAACTACCAATATCCACGAACACATGTCCGGATCACGGTATAACAAGGGTAAACCTGGGATCGCTATAGCTTGGCTCTAGGTTCATGTTGATGATGATCACCAGTGGCCTCCACGTCAAACCGCATTGCCTTCCATGGCCCTCTAACACCGCCTCCAACGCAATCCTAGCTGCAACCCCAACCCTAGTGCCATTATCCAACACCTTCCAACTTCAAAGCCCCCTTTTCCTTTATCAACTGAACAGGCTTGATTTATGTTTTTTTTTTCCCTTGATTACTTGACTTATGGATTTTTTTTTCCTTGGAGGTGGGCAAATATTTTAAAAAAACATGAAAAGATAAAATTTGTTTGATGAATTAAGGGTTGAGATTTTTTTTTTTTTTTTGGCTTGATTATGTTGTGTATTGTATTATTTTTGGTTTTGTTGTTCTTTGTGTGTGGTGGCAGTGGTCGGTGTTGGATTGTTATAGGGGGGAATTGGAGGATAAGGTAGGGTGGATAAGAAGGCTATGCTTTAGCCTGGGGTAGAGAAGTGTGTTGGAGGAAGGTGAGAAAGATAGAGAGAGGTAGGGTGTAAAAAGGGCCTGTTGGCCCGAGGCCTGACCAGGCCTGTCCATATCCCCCCGGGCTAGGACATGGGCTATGGGTTTTTTGGCCTAGCCTAGTCCTAGGCCCATTGGCCCAATCTGAGGCCTGGCCCGCCCGACGCCTAACTTAAATTTTAAGCTATTTTTTATTAAAAAAAAACTAAAAAAAGCCAAGCCCGCCCCAACCCCGATTATTCACTAGGCCAAGATTTTGCATAAGTGGCTTGGCCCAATTTTTGGTGGGAGCTTGACAGGCCTGACAGTGGGGCAACCTAGGCCGGGCCAAAATTACACACCTAGAGAGAGGGCATTTTTATCACTTCACATTTTCTATTAACGAAGTTAACTTTTGAGGCGCATTAGGGGATGCCGGTCTCATTGCTCCATACTATTGGGCTTGTTGTTATTTGGGCAATAGTTAGGGGAGGTCCTTGTAATTTGCCCTCATTTTTTTAATGGTACTTCATTTGTTGTTTTATATATATGGCCAAATCTTGATTGAATTTTTCGGGATGTGGTTGCATCATATATATATATATATATATCCACAAGGTTGCCTGTGTGTCCGTTGCACATGTTGTTGGGATCATTTGTGAGAATAAGCTATTATGCTCAGTTGTCATGACTCTTGATTAATTGATGCAAATTACTGAGAAACAACATTTGCAAACGGAGTCGCTGTTGGTCTCCACAACAACCATTTTGGTCCAAAATGTTGATAAAAAAATGTCTAGTTTGTAGTTGTTTCAATTTGTCCCATGGTCTTTCATTGCAGCAACTGGCCCACGTTTCCACAAATATTCATCAAAGGGGAGTTTGTTGGAGGATCAGACATCATTCTCAACATGCACCAGGTATTCTCATACCAAAATTGTTATTCTTTAGCGTGGTATACATTGCTTTAATGGTATGGTCTGTCATGTAGACTGGTGAATAGAAGGAAATGCTTAAAGATATTGCAGCCAACTAGGAGAATTAAGAGTAAGTTTATCATTACTAAACATGTAGAGTTACCAAGGAATATAGTTATCTTTGATGATGAAGAATTATAGGATACAAGCATGTTCAGCTTTGAATGTTTGTTGACTTGATCCAATAATGTTTAGTTAAAGTACGGATCCCATCCTTTGATGTTTAATGTTCTTGGCTACCAAAATTTTGAATGTGAGTCTGTTTGGAAAACTTTTTGAATAGTTGGACCATTGAGGATAAAATAAGTTAGCCCTCTCTCTAAGCTTTTAGATGAGTTGATGGCCAATAATTCAACATGGTATCAGAGTTCATATTGCAATCTTCTGGTGAGACAATAGCAAGAATCATATCAACTTGTCTATTCAAGCATACAAAGACATCATGCACGTATTTTAAGGCTCGTCAGTTCTTGTTCTTTTTATTTTATTTCCCTCCAAATTATTTCTTTCTTTTTTTTTTTGTCTTTGTTTTTGTGTTTTACTCTTCAAGCTGGTAAGTGCCTCCTGAATACATTTGTTAGTAAGCTTGTATGGTATTGGTATTGGTAAAACAGTCCTCTTTCTGTAGGTGTTATGGTAACTAGCCTGGTTGCTCAAGTTGCAGTGGTTCCTTCAATGTTTGAGAGGTCTAGAAACTTCATTTTAAGTAGATTTTGATTTACTAGATGAAGGGTTTGTCGAGTCAAATTGTGACCTAGGTTCATATATGAGGGTCAAGATTGGCAATGTTACAGCACCAAATTGATGTATGTGTCCTGAGCAGATAAAATATTGTGGTTTACTCTTGCTCTTCCTTAGCACGTTCAACCTGATTCATAGTTTGGATTTGAGGAACATGATTCATCTAGGTGAACCTAATTTTGTGATGAGTGAGGGTTTTGGAATTAGACTTTTTGTATGTTAATTTAATTTTTTTTAAACAACCTGGATTTGGAATACTTCTGTGGTTGGCATGATTCTCTTAAAAAATTGTCATAGTCTATGGACAACAATTGTGAGGGAAACAAATGTGCGGGCATATTATCAGTAGAAGGTTTTAACCAAAATGGTCCTTCACTGTTTTTTCTACTATTTCGGGTTGTATCTCATTCCAATTATTTGAAGATGTTAGGGGTGTTGAGTACCGCCAACATGTAACTTCTTAGTTTTTAATAATGCAATATTTTTTATTTGTCAGAAAAAAAAAAAAAAAAAAAAAAAAAAAAAAAAAAGCTATGGTTAGGCAGCTGCCTGCTTGGGCTTTGGTTTCAGCAACAAAATTAGCATTCAGCCTATATGTTTTCAAATGTACCAAACTCCTCACTTTCAAGCTGGTGCATGTTTGCTGCATAGCCATATTACAGGCTTGCAGGAAAACTATTCATTGTTACCGGCCAAGAAGTAAGGCTTCATATGCTCCTAGGCCCCCAAAAAGTGAAGGACGACTGCCCTAAAAAAATATAAAATAGTAAAGAGTTCGTTTCTTCCTAAAAAATATGATTTTTTTTTCTTTTTTCTTTTTTTTTTTTTTTTGCTGCATCGTGCAAGAATGATTATACACTTCTAAACACCTCCTGGTATGAAGCAGGGATGGTGCCAAAGAAAAACAAATATTCAACTTACCTTTAAAAAAGTGTCAACGTAGGGGGTTCTGGTGAAGATGGTGAAGTTTTTGTTCTGGGCCCCCTTCTTAGTTAATGGACTAATAGTTGAAGGGATGGGATCATGATTTTGACCTCTAGGTTTGTAAGTGAAGGAAGGAATGACATTAAGATTTCAATGGAGCTGAACCTGCAACCAAACTAAAGAAGGAACCGAAGAAAGCTACCAGTTCAGTTTCAATACTCAAGTTCCAGCGCTTGTAGAAAGAGGTAGGTTTGTCAGTTTAGCCCCATTTTTTAAAGCTTAGGGAGGGTAGTTTTGCTTAGAGAAGAAATCCACTTTGTTTTTTGGAAAAGACAGATGTCAATTTCTTGGGAAGTTATACTTATAGGGAAATTGGTTTAGAGAATATTCCCTTTCTTGCTTGGGTGGTTTAGCTCTTGGGAAAAAAGAATACATCTGTCAAGCTCTTTCAAGCTTTGAAGTCTAAAAAAAGTGTCAACGTAGGGGGTTCTGGTGAAGATGGTGAAGTTTTTGTTCTGGGCCCCCTTCTTAATTAATGGACTGATAGTTGAAGCGATGGGATCATGATTTTGACCTCTAGGTTTGTAAGTGAAGGAAGGAATGACGTTAAGATTTCAATGGAGCTAAACCTGCAACCAAACTAAAGAAGGAACTGAAGAAACCTAGCAGTTCAGTTTCAATACTCAAGTTCCAACGCTTGTAGAAAGAGGTAGGTTTGTCAGTTTAGACCCATTTTTTAAAGCTTAGGGAGGGTAGTTTTGCTTAGAGAAGAAATCCACTTTGTTTTTCAGAAAAGACAGATGTCAATTTCTTGGGAAGTTATACTTATAGGGAAATTGGTTTAGAGAATATTCCCTTTCTTGCTTGGGTGGTTTAGCTCTTGGGAAAAAAGAATACATCTGTCAAGCTCTTTCAAGCTTTGAAGTCTAATACTCCCGTTGTAGGCACTCAACAGTAAAGTTGGTTCTTTTTTGTATTGATGGTACAAGAGAGCTATGGTTTCATATTTAGTTTAAAGGACCTTTCAAAGAGGGGTTCGCTCTTTCATGAATTTAGTCTAGAGCATCTCGCTTTCCAGTAATTGTGAGGATTTTCAAGTATGCGATGACAAGTCATCACTATCTTTAACTCGTTTATCAAAAGTAAGCCCCTATCACACCTACCATACACATGCAAGTCAGACTATGTTTTGGATCAATTGGTTCATCTAGCTATGGCCTAATCTAATCATATGAAAACTAAGGGTTTGTTTCTGGTTGAGAATTGATGCTGGTTCACCTCTCTAATTAAGTGTGTAAGTATCTTGTTTCCTGCTTGTCGAGTAAAGAAAGGTGATTCTCTGCCCAATAAAGCCTGGCCCAAGAGGCTGAATTCTCTAGTGTGGACCAAAACGGTCTCTGGAAGCCAGTCCCCAAATTGTGGAAGTTCTCTAATTTGAAGAGTAGCAACCTTGACTTCTAGGAAAAAAGGTTTATTTTATTTTTATCAATGCAATTATCTAACTAAGAAAGCAGTCTACTAATTAACTCTAGCTTTGCTAATAAGATAGGGTAGTTGACTTATTCGTTAGAGAGAAGAGGATGCTTGTGTATGGATGAAA